GAACACTAATTTACTCTGATAATTAGTTTTAGGATACTAATTTATCTAACAATTAGATTCAGGGTACTAATTTATTCAAATAATTAGTTTCAGAATGATAACTTCCTTTAGAAATTAATTTCAGGGTACTAATTTACTCTAACAGTTAGTTTCAGGATACTAATTTACTCTAACAGTTAGTTTCAGGATACTAATTTACTCTAACAGTTAGTTTCAGAATGCTGGTTGCTCACGGTGATTAAGTATAAAACTAAAAATGTTGTTTGTATATGTGTACATTGTAAGATAAAAAAGTCAAAGGTCATTCACTGAATTTTGTGGTGCATTGTTTAGTTTCGTATTCTAATTACAGAATGTTTTAAGTTTGTTTTCTTATTTTTGTTTTATCAGTGCAGTTTTAGTTTTTACTTTATCTTGCAGAAACATAAATGTGATAACATCTACAACATTACGTACCTGATTCGTATACAAATACTACAGAACTCGTGTTTATATTTTAAGCGTTACTGTCATCAATAAACATCATGCTCCATTTTAATGGACAGAATAATAAATAACGGATCATGTTCGTTACAGTAGCGGTTTGATTCCTATCTCTGCCCTGTCTTAATTTTCTTCACTGTTGATCGTACATTAGCGATTCAGTTTATCATCAAGACAGCGTGAATTCACTACGGTAACTCGTTTCTGTTTGTTTTGTTCATTTCTTGAACACCACGCACAGCATTGTTTATCTTTATTAAGAGAGCAATCTATCTATGCTCTTTCTACTGACGATAGGGATATAAGCCTGCAGCATAGCAATTTAAACCGGTTCTGCAAATAACTGGGTTACATTTTCTAAATTTGACTTTTGGAGACAAATAATTGAAAATTTGTCCTAACGATACCTCATTCAATACAATAGTATTATAGTTAAGTCAGAGTAATTGTAGATAGACAGGTAGATAAGTATACTTTTTATTAAAATAACCAACCCAGTAGATAGATAGATAGAACGGTTTTATTTATTGCAGCATTGTAAGTGTGCTTCATAGAATATGTGATTTTTTTATAGCACAAACTTTATGACAGCTTACTGAAATAATGGTAATAAAAGAACATTTTCTGATCACACAGAGTTTGAGAAACACATTTCGACATAATGAATACAAGTAATGCCAGTCATGCAGGGGCTGTTTAACTAACAAACTCTTCGGTCTGAGTCAATGTATATGTCTTAATAAAAAACAAAACACGAGATTTTATTCACGTTTTTAGTGAAACATTTGTATATTTTTTAAGAACTTGTCTTACCAGGAGATAAAATGACTATAAACACCACCACACATGGCAAGGAATACCTTGTTCAATTACTGTTTGGGTCTGTTTTAAAGCCATCTTCAAGACTTGTGAGATCTTGTATTTTCAGTTTTCTCAATCTTTGGTAGCAGATTTTCTTGTTGCTTTAAAATATTAATAAGGAAATTCAATTTGATTATTACTGTAAGATGTAAAATTGGTAATTTAAGAATACCAACAAATCAAGTTTATTTTTAGTGTTTTTAACTAAAGTGATTTTAATATTTAATTACGAATACGCGGACGCGCCATAGCGATACTAACTTATTAACTGAGTTTTACTTTGGGCACTTGTGCTGAGACTTATCGTAAAACTGTAATAAATAAATAGATAAATGAATACATATAAATAAAACAAGTTATTTCACTAACTAGCAAAGATATAGTTAGTTTTAAGAGTTCCAATAATCTGTTCTATATTTAAAAAGTAAAAATAATGGTTATTATAAAAACTAAACATTTAAAAACTCGCGTATCGCCATTTTTATAACTTTGAAACAAAAGTGCTTGAAAGTGTAATTTCAGTCGTCTATTGTAGTGATTTTATGAGAAAAACTGTATTAATGATAGTAATCATACTTATGCAGAGTCTGAAAAATTTAGAATTCGAATTTTGCAAGACTGCAGAAGTTGAGTACGATTTTGAAGCTTCACAGCGTCGTTGTGGTCGTCAATATTGCATAGCTTCATTTGCAAAAGGCTCCATCATAAGGCTGTCATGTCTGAGGCACGCTACTCCTCCTTGCATGCTTTCTATAATCCATCTATTACAAGTACAATTGTTTGCTAGCACCAGTTTCAATAATACGATCACATAGAAGCTCATAGGCACTTCGTCTGGTGACTTGATGAGTATGTCTTCGTATGGAATAGCATGAACACCGTTTCGTTTTCCAGCTGTTTGACGTATGTGACGATTGAACGTATATATCCAGGAAGCAATTTGTGTACACGTGATTTGTGCTGCTTTTCCAGACGGAAATGATTCTTGATTATATTGTTTGGGGTACGTGGACGGCTTTTGTTTTAATTTTATAATAAGAACACGATTTGCAAGAACGGTATTTTTATTATTGTGCATATACATATAGATGTAGTATTACTATACACAATGACAGTCTAGTGAAACACACATGTATTATTACTAAGTACAGTGACAGCCTGCTGAAACGTTTATTATTACGAAACACAGTGATAGTCTACTGGAACATACATATATCACTTGTCGAACAAAGGAAGAGTGAACACACACGCACATATAAGCACGTTTATTGATACTCGAAAACAGTAACGCTATATATACAAATATCCAAATATTAATACAAGAACACTGACAATGTAAATACACATTCATGTGTTACTATAAGAGCACGGTGACTGTATACAAACAAGATATCTTATTAATTGACGTCTTATGATATTCAACTCTTCTATCACATGATCATCCTTCTTAAATTGAAGAAGGTTTAAAATATAAGGATAATACCATTTGATTTTATATTTTATATAAGGCTTTGAATGATATATTTTTAGGTTAAAAATCTATGTGCATTTTGCTATGAACCTGATTTTGAGCTTGTAGGGTGACTCACGTGATTTACTATAATTTTGAGCGTCCTAGGTGACTCGCGTGATATGCTGTGGTTTTGAGCGTCCAGGGTAACTCGCGTGATTTTGAACGCGCAGAGTGACTCGCGTGACTTACTGTAATTTTGAGCGTCCAGGGTGAATCAGTGATTTACTGTGGTTTTGAGCGTCCTAGGTAACTCGCGTGATATGCTGTGGTTTTGAGCGTCCAAGTTGACTCGCGTGATTTACTATGATTTTGAGCGTCCAGGGTAACTCGCGTGATTTTGAACGCGCAGAGTGACTCGCGTGACTTACTGTAATTTTGAGCGTCCAGGGTAACTCAGTGATTTACTGTGGTTTTGAGCGTCCAAGGTGACCCAGTGATTTACTGTGATTTTGAGCGCGCAGAGTGACCCAGTGATTTGCTGTGGTTTTGAGCGTCCAGGGTGACCCAGTGATTTACTGTGGTTTTGAGCGTTCAGGGTGACTCAGTGACTTACTGTGGTTTTGAGCATCCAGGGTGACCCAGTGATTTACTGTGGTTTTGAGCGTCCAGGGTGACCCAGTGATTTACTGTGGTTTTGAGCGTCCAGGGTGACTCAGTAAAAGATAATCGAAATTTGTAGTATTTCAGCTGTGACATTGTTACGAAAATATTAATCTCTCCCAGTTAATGTTTACGCTAATTAGGCATCTGATGTTCTGCTGTGTGATCTGAAGTGCAAGTTATTGGTAATTCAGCCACACGCTCGTTAATAAACATTTAGTATAGATGTATGTACACATCTGTAGTTTATATTTCATTTCAATATGGAATATGGTCAGCAGAAACGACAAAGGCAGCTTAGCACCAATTTTGCATGCTTAAAGTCAGATGCTAAGGTATCCTCAATCACTTCTTTAAAAATGCTGTTTACTGGGCATTTTTCTTGTCTGGAGTCTATCTGCAGGATGCGACATGTCACCCAAGGGCATGCAAAAGTGCACGATGGGTTGTAGTCTGAGAGGAATGCGTCAACCTTCTTCTCTTCAAGAAATGTATTGGCCAATTAAACACGGTGTATTCAACAAGCATCATCACTCCTTAGACCGAAGACGGGGCCATTTGCACCAATAATGTGAAGCACAGAGGTCTGTGGGATGTGCATCACATAGTGTGTAGTATTGATGGTGCCAATTCACAGAATGTAAAAAGTCGGTATCCACCAATGCTACTTACTCTTACAACATTTCCGCTACAGCCACATGCGCCATTTTCTTTTATGAATATGTGGTTGGTTCTGGTTACAAGTTCTATCCAGATTAATTTAAATTTGTTACCTGGCTGCAGGGTAAAGAAAAACTCATCTGTAAAAAAAGAATACTTCTCCACATGGTGTTCGTTCACTGGTTGTACTCTTGGCACCCTTTGTTTCTAATTGGCCATACATTGACATAACGTCCACTTATGGCTTTGAACGGCTGAATCAGTCTCTGAGCAGGTACCATACAATTTCGACTAGCCAGAATCAAACGATAGTGATTACTTACTCATGAGCGATTGTCTGCTTTGTTCAGGTATTTGAGCAATTTTGATATTGGTTTGAAATCAAATTCACTTTATACTCAGAACACTTTGAAAGACCACTCAATCACTTGTATTTCAGATCATCAGATGTCTCTTTTGCATAGTCCGTGAAGAAGAAAATATGATAATTATAGCTACTTAGAAATCTATAGAACCAGGTTAGATCTGAAGGGATATATAACATTTAGATTTAATCTAACCTTATACAATGTCAATCCAACTCAGAAACTCTTGAGAATCCAAAGCCCATGTACAATCATGTTGGAAAAGTTAGAACTGAGCAGACATGCGACATGTATCATCTACCTTTAACTAAAAACACAATATCACTCCGCAACCCATGAAAATTTAGGCTTGTCTCTCGTTAGATAAATTCTGTAGGCTATTGCTACAAAAACTAATTTTTTAGGTGCCCTACTGATCAACAGCTTGGCCGGGAGATTTAAGTATCAGATAGGTATATATATATATATAGTATGACTGAAAAATATAATCATTAATAAACTATATTTTCTTTTATCTATAGAAAAGTCTGCAGGAATTGCAAGTGTTCCCGGGAGGACCATGGGGGCGCCATGACCTCTATTAGCATGGCGGAAACTGAACGCATTACCCACAAGATGGCGCTGCCGTTTGGCAGTAGCAATGAGGCACAACAACGTCAATCCCAATCCGATGACGACAGTGGTTGCGCATTGGAGGAATATACTTGGGTACCTCCAGGCCTAAAACCAGAACAAGTGAGTGGTATACTTTTGTCAGTATTGCATATTCCAAGTATATATAAGTGACATCATTTCATCAACTGTATCAACACAGTTACAGGTTGATAGAAATACATGGTCTGATAGAAATATTGAATACACCCACATTGTATTTAATTCTTTAAATACAAATGAACACTTCGCTCCTAACTGGCCTGTCAAAATTTTTTGATTTTTTAACCGCGTTTGGCGTGTTGTAGGCACTGTACTCAGTATAAGATATCATCAGACTGGTATGGCAAGCCATAAGGACCATAACGTATAAGATCATCGCGTTGCCAAACAAGCCAATAATAACATAGTTTTCAATCACATGATGTCTCTACAATGGGTTAGATCAACACGTTATGGCTCTGTAGATCGATGTCATATACATGGCCACATCATATTTATTCAAAACGTTATCGACTACGTATTGGATCAACACGTTATGATACTGTAAATCGGTAGTTAACAGGGTCGTAATGTATTGACTCAACGTGTTGTCGAAGCAACCAATAAGACTGTCATAATTCTCGCTGGGCCTGATGTTTTTAAGTGCTATAATTATCTTATATATGCTTACCAAGAATTACAGCACCCTTATTAGTTACTACACGTTGAGTCAATACGCTATGATCCCGTATTATAGACTTGCAGGGCCATAAGGGGTTGATCCAACTCGTAGTCGAAAGTTCTGCTCCTCGTTGAATTAATACGTTGTGGCTTGCCGTATAGACTTACTGGTATACAACACTAAACCGTAGTTGAGTCACTTTTTTTTGTATTAACTCTGCAATGAAATTTTAAGTTGTGTGATGTGCTTTGCCAAAACTGGCAAAGCGCGATCCCTTTCCAAAGGTATACACATTACTCTTAATCGGCCCACAGTATCACATACACGATGGGGTTGTAGTCTGGGAGGGATGCATCAATCTTCTTCTCTTCAAGAAATGTGTGGCCAATTAAACACGGTGAATCCAGCAAGCTCTTCGCTCTTTAGACCGAAGCGTATTTATTGCGATGAAAACAGAGCGTTGGTAAATCAGAACATTTTATTGGCATAAAACAAGGCTGTTGGTAAATGAGAGCGTTTTATTGACATGAAACCAGGGGATTGGTAAATCAGAACATTTTATTGACATGAAACAAAGGCTTTGGTAAATCAGAGCCATTTATTAATTGAAGCCAGAGCGTTTTATTGAGATGAAACAATGCCGTTCATGAATCAGAGCATTTTATTGACATAAAACCAGGGCGTTGGTAAATCAGAGCGTTTTATTGACATGAAATCAGTGCGTTGATAAATCATAGCCATGTATTAAGATGAAATCAGAGCGTTTTATTGACATGAAACCAGGGCATTCATAAATCAAAACCGTTTATTGAGATGAAATCAGAGCGGTGATAAATCAGAGACATTGCAAAATAATCCGATATCAGTATTAGTATTGAAAAAGCGTTTAATAAATTTTACTTTAGTCATTTTTGGATACCAGATTAAGGTGTGACTTTTAATAAAATTTAAAAACGTTTATAATATTGCTTTAGTTTGTGTGTTAAAAATATCCACAAGCAAACGAAGGTGGAGTTATAAGAATGAATGTGATATTACTATCGATGACGTCATGTGTTCTATGTACATAAAACGATAATTGTTTTGGACACTTCTTGTTATTTACATTTACTAGTGTTCTAACTATATTATAGTGGTTTTCACTGCTCAAGCCAATATGTTTTGACGAAAAGATAACCAAATTCGAGTCACTTTCAATCGTTCGCATATTAAGCCCCTAATTTCATTTTTCTCTACTCTCCTGGGTTGAGCGTGGCCCAAATGTTATTGTGCCAGACTGTACATTCTAGATTTTATGGCTCGCGCCCCGTTACCGCTGAAGAAAAAAAAACGTGCCCTAAACTTTGGAACTTTTGAGAATGAGGGTCAACTCCCCCTATTCGAGTAGAGCTGGCAATGGATTATTTTGACAAGCTTCGAACCTCTAGTCTACCACTTCAAAATTAGGAACAGTTAGCAAAATTAGCCCTCTTGTAGTTTTGCGCGAAATTCAACAAAAAAACTCTACTCGCCAAGTAATATATATATATACATATAAACATATACAACATATATATCAGTCAGATAAACCTGTATTTTGGCACATCATCTAACTTAAAGTGGACTGAGATAACTGAATTTCTTTACATGGTCTGTTTCTTAGCAAATAAACATCATTATTATAGAAAAAGTTAAAAACCGCTAAAAATACGGCCCTCGGTGGCTCAGCGGTAAGTCTGAAGGCTAAAACCAGGCTTCTATACCCATGGTGGGCACATTACAGATAGCTCATTGTGTAGCTTTAGGTTTAACAACAAACAAACAAACAAAGAAAATATGAAAAACGAAGTTTAAAAAATAGAGAACAAAAAATCACTGTTTTGGGGATTTAATGTGCAAGATATCTTTGTTTTATTTACATATTTAAACATCAGTATTATAAATATGATTGTCACAGTTAGGAAGACTCATCGACCCGATCGATTTCGGAAAGTTGTCATCCATGAACTCACCCCTTATGCAGAAAGGAATATCTTTGGAGTGTGCTCTGTTCTTCTAACTACTTTAGTGATTATATAAGGCTTGTTTGTTTGTTTTTGGAGTTCGCGCAAAGCTACTCGAGTGCTGTGTAATTTAGCAATGATAGACTAGCGGAAAGGAAGCTAGTCAACACCACCTACCGCCAACTCTTGGCTACTCTTTTAGCAATGAATAGTGGGATTGTCAGTCACATTATAACGCTCCCATGGCTGAAATGGCGAGCATTTTCGGTGGTTATATAAAGATAGCTGCTATTGAAATATCCTGGATAACGTGTTTCACTGGTGTTCCCGCAAACGATGTTAGCATTGTCTCATTATGGTATTTAATATAAAAGAAATGTACGAGTTGTTTCTTGTTGTTTTTCTAGACCACACATAAATCATTGTTTGCAGTAATAAACCGTTTGTTATTATGAATGGATACTTTTTCTTTTTGGCCTAAATCTATTTGAACAAAGGATTTTTTAGGCCAGCAGATAAAAATTAACTAGGTGGAATTAATAAACATCAGTAAGTGATGGTAAAATGATGTAAGCGTTTCTACTTTGTTTATATATCATTTATGTCATTGTTCGTTGTCTTACTCTCTAAAGGTAAGGGAACGGTGGAAGTGTATTTATCATGAACAAAGGTTATTTTCAGAGCAGCGAAGTATGACATCTTAGGATAATTTGCCTTCTGTAGCATGTTATTAATAAGGAATGAGACTGGAGAACGAGAAAGCCCTTCGACACGCCTTTCTGCCGCTTATGCGTCAGGAGTTAGAGAGGGGCCGTCTCAGTTTCAACGCCCCCGAGGCCAGTTTGGAGGGTGGTACCTACGTAATCAATCCTTGTGTTGGAATGTATGTACTCCTTGTTATCTTTAAAGTTCAGATATGGCTCCCAGGTCCAAAAAACTTGAAATTATAAATTCAGATCTCTGTACTACCTTCATAACTGGCCTAGCTTCCCATACCAAGTAGTGCAACTCATGAATAGTGAGCGACTCATCCAAAGTAACTATTGAAGAAAAATATATAGCGATTGATCATTAGCAATTACTGTTGCTGAAAAATAACGACTGAATATTAGCAATTACTGTAGCTGAAAAATAACGACTGAATATTAGCAATTACTGTAGCTAATAAATAACGAATGAATATTAGCAATTATTGTAGCTGATAAAATAACGACTGAATATTGGCAATTACTGTAGCTGATAAATAACGACTGAATATTAGCAATTACTGTAGCTGAAAAATAACGACTGAATATTAGCAATTACTGTAGCTGAAAAATAACGACTGAATATTAGCAATTACTGTAGCTGATAAATAACGAACTGAATATTAGCAACTACTGTAGCTGATAAATAACAACTGAATATTAGCAACTACTGTAGCTGATAAATAACGACTGAATATTAGAAATTACCGTAGCTAATAAATAACAACTAAATATTAGCAATTACTGTAGCTGATAAATAACGACTGAATATTAGCAACTATTGTAGCTGATAAATAACGACTCACTATTAACTACAACTGTAGCTGATAAGTAGTGACTAATCATTAGAAACTACTATAGCTGATCAAGAGCGTCTGATTGATTTATAACAAGTTGCGTAGCTCATCAGAAGTGAAGCTTGCTTATAACAGTGATTATCCGTAGAAATAGTGAAGCCCACGAGAAGAGATCAATATATAATACTATAGTTCACTTCATTAATAGTTTATTTGTAGTAACTACTCCTTAACAATAAATATAATATATTTGTAGTAACTACTCCTTAACAAATCATTTTATATATTTGTAATAACTGATCCTCAACAATTTATATAGCTTATTTATAGAAATTAATTCCTAACAATATATAAAACTTACTTGTATTAACTAACCCTAACAATTTATATAGATTATTTGTAATAACTAATCCATAACAACTTATATAGATTATTTGTAGTAGCTAATCCATAACAATTTATATAGATTATTTGTAATAACTAATACATAACAATTTATACAGATTATTTGTAATAACTAATACATAACAATTTATATAGATTATTTGTAGTAACTAATCCAAAGCAACTTATATAGATTATTTGTAATAACTAATACATAACAATTTATATAGATTATTTGTAGTAACTAATACATAACAATTTATATAGATTATTTGTAGTAACTAATCCATAACAACTTATATAGATTATTTGTAATAACTAATACATAACAATTTATATAGATTATTTGTAGTAACTAATACATAACAATTTATATAGATTATTTGTAGTAAGTAATCCATAACAATTAATACAGATTATTTGTAGTAACTAATCCATAACAATTTATAGATTATTTGTAGTAACTAATCCATAACAATTTATATAGATTATTTGTAGTATCTAATCCACT